TGATGCTATATATATATAACGCAAAAAATCTGGCTTCGAGTACGAGAAGGCGGGACGAATAGCGTATACTTTTACAAAAAGCGTGGGATAAGATAAATGAATGTACGTTAATCAGATAGGTAGAGACGAAGTCTCGTGTCTGTCACATATATTTGTCAATGTAGATATGTCGCAGTAAAAACACTTTATTTCATTGGTCGAAGTGTGACATCAATGTCACAGTCAATCGTATAAATTATACGAAAAATTTGAGTACGATTTAGTGATATGACTCTATTATTTATACTCGAAGAAAATTGACGTTGTTATCAAGGTAAAGCTATGTGAGAGTCTTTTCCAAAATTTTGCTAATTATATAATCAACGTCATCCTGAGATAAATTCAAAATCGTTGTTGCATTAAAAGTTTTAATCCGACCTATTATTTCCTTTCCACCAATATTATTAAAAAGTCTAAAAATCTTTTTAGCTCTTTCTTTTCTTTTTCGAAGATTAGTCTCAGTAAGTTTATCTTGCGCAGAAATCTGTTCCCTAATTTTATCGTTAACTCTCGCATTAGACGCATCCTCACTACATATTTTTCTATAATGATCGAACCATAATTTAATACCTTTCCCGAAATCATAGTGGCAATAAATCAGATCATGGGCAATTTTCTGATTATTGTCTTCGGCATTGGTAATCTTATCATATAACTCACGAAAATTAACTGAATCTTTGTCAATTTCGGAAACGTCCGACTGCAAAATGATCGTACTACTGGATGAGGTTTTCTGGGTAGGAGTTGTCAATTCTTTGATTAGTCTTTGTAACGTAGGAGAATCTTCTTTTGAAACTTGCTTCTTCGCTTTCTTACTGAATAGTTTACTGGTGGGTACACCAACACGCTTTTTCTGGGACGTATCTTGAAATATTGGAAAATCACCAAATAATGCCGGAGATATATTCATTGGATCAGTGGTATATAGACTTTCAGGTGTGCTCTCGACCATAGTTTTTATCTCCTTCTTGCAAACAGATTTTGGACATATTGAATGTTTTTTGATGGAATTTTCGATACAATCGCGATGATATATATGACCGCAGATGAGTATGGTAATCGGGTTTTTTATTTCATACAAAAAAAGTTCTTGGTTGCATAACAAGCATGGATCTAGCTCCGAAACATTGACACCTTCTGCGATCTTTTCTGGGAATGAATTTTGCAGGATATTTAATGCAAGGGATTCGAGAGATGAGATATTAGCAGACATAGCGAGGTGTATAACCGGATAGCGGAGCTAGTGTCTCTGACACATAAGTTTTCCATATACTTAACTCATTTTTTATATACCACACTCCTTGCGACTAACAAAACCAATTTCAGATATTATGAAAGCCAATTTCGGATTTGGTGATCATTAATTACTTCGGCTCGGAATCGCTCAATGTTTACAGGAAATCGTAGATGGTTTCAGCCTTTTTTCTCATATATTCGAAAAAAGATTATATAGCTATCCTGCATATATATCACAATCATCTGGCTTCGAGCAAAAATTGCGAGAAGACGGGGCAAAGATTGGCATTAATTTCACAAAACAGCGATGAATTAGCTTAGTCTCTTATGATAATTCCTGATTTTCTATCTCGTAATGATGAAAACACCCCTTATTACCACGCATAATCGGAAAAAGAATGGGTAATACATATCACATACTATACCACAGAATAAAATCGAACTTTTCATCCATGATGCAATCGTACGACCTGTTACTGTGACCAAATTTCCGAAATTCACATGCTAAATATCGATTGCGTAATACAGTTGTTAGATCAGCATATACCACAGAATAAATTAGAAGGTCATGGAACTTCTGCATGCATGATGTAATCGTATGACCTGATTGTTACCAAATCTGATTAACCAACTCGTGCCATATGCATTTTCTTTGTGAAAAGTTTTTTCGCTGTGCATATTTATATAGTAAATGCCCATGGCTTGCATCGCTCCAGTTCCACATTCCCTAAATCCACTGTTCCCATACCTAAACGGGACGGAAATGAGTGGGGGGAAACGTTTTGGAAGGATAGTATATTTACGTTGTGGTTGTTCGTCACTTCTTTTTTACTTGCGTTATATTAACAATTGTCATGTCTACCTCATCATTCTCATCAGCTGAAAACTTTGCTCCATTATGGAACTTTTTAAGAACCAGTTCCCTAGACAAAATCACCACTTCTAATGTAATTACGCAACTATGGAATTGCTTCAAAATTCAAACGGAACAAGAAGATTTTGACAGCATCATGAAAATCCTAAAAGAAACGGAAAGTGAAATCATTGATAAAGAACGTAAATAGCATCTCAAATCATTGCAAAATATTAGCCAGGTGATTTATACCACTTTCGTGTTTGTATAATAGAGAATAAAATGATGAATATGACATCTAGACATAATAAGTGTAATGCGATTGAAAAAGCGACATATTGTCAGCGAGAATCTCTTTCATTATATTTATTATGATGTTTTTAAAAACAATAATGCCGGCTATTTCTGATTAGGATGGGTATTGCGCAAAAAAATGATGATGTTTCTCTGAATTTTATTAACCCATTCATATTTCAGATACGATTTATTAGGAACGAATTGCTATCATTAAAAGATATGGGGTTCTTACGAGGAAAATTCGAAGAAAGAGTAAACTGGAAAGCTTTAGCTTTAAATAGTATAGAACTTTTGAAAGATAAAATCAAGGTAATTAATTATTTATTGCTTGAATTTTCCATAAAATTAACTCTCTTTTCGATTCATTAGAAGAAAGGCGCACCACCACATGAGCACATTTTTACAAAAATAAGCAATATAGATGTTGATGCATTATCAAATGACGACCCGTTATGTATTGGAGTAATCGATCTCAGTTCAGATAAATATAATATTCCGGAAAGCGATTATGAATCTCTCATTGTACGTATAATATTTCTATTTTTCTTTACGAAGTAGATATGTATTGGTTCTGTGATCGGAGTAATTGATAAGACTTTTTATGGGATCTCGTATCAAAGATAATTACTTATTATATATTAATATTAATAGGGAGAGAAGGCTAATATAAGAAATTTGAGCAGAGATATCGTAGTGAAGAATATATGCAATGATTTTATAT